CTTGTTAATTTTAATTTCTTGATCACATTGTGAATTTCTTCTGGTATGGTAGGATATAGAAAAAAGGACTGTGGTTGCCTTTCAAGCGTACCTTCAAGCTGTCGGAAACGGGTGTGTTATTAACTGTAAAATAATTATTAAATTCATTCGCAATGGCTGTTGGTTCTTTGTAGGTGCCATTAATGCTAGAAATCTCATTTATAGTGTTTCTTTTGAGTTCCTGTTCAGAAAAGAGTTGATGAGCTTCCATTGTTCAGTGATACCAGAGGCTTCATGAAATTTAGCTTCGTAATACCTTTTTTTGGCGTCTCTCAATAATTTATTTAGGATATTTTTGTAACAGGAATATCGCTGCTGCAATTTGTAGTTAAATGGACAACGTTTCGTCTTTTTGTACATATTGTCTTTCTTACGCATACACTTCAGTAAACCATCAGTGAGCCATGGGTTATGGGGTGCAGGATACCTTTTGTGGCATCTAACGAAAGTGGTTGCTTCGCGAATACGTTGCTTCAATACTGATGAGAATGCCTCAAAAGCTAGCTCTGCATTTGTTTCGGATTGAATTCTCGACCAGTCAAATGATGACATGGAATCTATAAATGAAACTTTGTCAAAGAGGGCTTTTCGAAAAGAATGCTTCATTCGTGACAAGGCCGACGACAAGCGACAAAAAATGGCATAGTGATCGGTGATATCGAGGGGTATTATGCCACATTCATTACTTGATAAGTGGTTAGATAGAATGTGGTCAATAAGCGTGTTTGAGCCACCCGTAATACATCTTGTCGGCAACGTAAGAAGCTGCTCATAACCAAAGCCTGTAAAACAATTTGAATATTCAACCGAACCTTGATTGGAATCTTCTAATAGATTGATGTTTATATCTCCATAATAACAACGTTTTTCCTTTCTCGTGAAATTCGATCCAGGTTTCATGCAGTGCCGAACAAAACTCGGGCACGGATGATGACGGTGAGCGGTAGACGCATGCTAGAATAGTTTTTTCTGAATGGGGTTGTTCAAGATTGTCGTCGATTTCAATCCATACAGATTCCGTGTTATCAGCTAGAATGGCGAGATCGTTACGACGCTTATATTTTACTGAAGATGATATGAATATAGCTGATCCACCATGACTGTTCGATTGGCGGTGACAATATTCTGGAGTGTAGTGTGGTAAGCAATATATGTTCGGTCGTCAGACGATAGCCACGTTTCAGACATACAGATGAAGGAAAGTGATGGGCAAGGGATGCTAGATAAACACAGATGTCGTCATAATGTTTTCTGAGACTACGCGTGTTGAAGTGGATGGCCGATAATCCTGGGCTTTCGAAAAAAACGTCGAAGCTGGTTAGCGGAGTAATACATTTTGAGGCGTTTTGAAGGTTACTCAGCAATTCAGTTGATTGCCAGACACCAACTAGGAGGCAGAATGAAACACAGAAAGGTCTGCATCCTTCGTGATGCGGTATACCCGACTGTCAACTGATTTTCGTGCTTTGATCTGACAATTGTCGGTCCATAGGAACTTCCAGCCATGTTCCCTCTTAAGCTTCAGTGCCTTAGCGAAAAGTCCTTTCTTTTCCAACGTAGATGATCATTTACATAAACAGACGACTTTGCGAGCCCCCAAAGCCTAGTTCATTGGTGTTCAGTTAGCTTTTCCGTGCCTTAGTAATGAAATCTTGTTTCTTAGTACGTGAGCAGACCGCGCGATGAGATTCTTGTCCCCCGTTCCAACTTTCCCTCGAACGCGATGAACGACGTCAATGTCCCCATCTGTAATAACGCAATGAATTTTTGGCCCCTACAGCCTTCAAAAATTGCCGTACAGTCTTCTCCCTGTGTACACGGAACATTCTTCAATTCAATGTTATGTAGCCGAGAGTATTGCTCAAGTTCAGCTACTCTGGTTGGCAAGGCATCATTCTGTGACTGCAGAGCTTGATTGACTGTGCGTAAACGGTCGCTTTCTGACCTCACTTCTTCGACATAGAATTCAGCATTTCGACACTGGAGATCAACTGTTGACTTCGGCCTTCAATCGTCAATTTCAGGTTGCGGTGCGGAGGCTTTTGTTTCATCTTCGCAACCAGCTTTTCCACTACATCATCCATTTTAACCTTCGACCAGGCCTCAAGCGACTGATTCTTTTCGTTAGTTTCAGCTACAGTTGACATAGTAAACAAGCTACAAGCTTACACTACAACTACAATACACTGGCAGCAGCAAAATGCGGTAATATGTTTTATGAGCACGATGCAATAAGAAAACCCCACCAACCTGCAAGGCAAGTAAGTTCGTTTAGCTTGCGTTCCTCCAGCCGCAGGTGCTGCTGCCAAATGAAGCCGGGCAGCCTCCCGCACTACTTTGTAGTCTGTTGGTATCAGCAGTCTTTATCACCAGGGCGATGTTTTCCACGTTGACACGGTCACGCAGGCGCGGTGGCCACCGACAGACCAAATCAGATACCAGGTAGAAAAGCGTGCGCACAGCCGTTGAGCAGTGAGCACGGGCACCCAGCAAAGCCCAGGCGAACCAGCGTCGTGTGGTCAGCAATCGAGTCACCATAAAATGCTGCATTCACACAGTATTTAATTGTTTTCATAATTGGGAGGATGCCAAAAGCATTTTGCAACGTGCTTAAAACAGAAAGCAGCCCCCACTCTGAAATTATTCTGGTGAATAGAGAGTACGACAAGAATAAACAGCACTCTGGAAAGTTACACTCGCCGATCTTATTACAATGCATTCGCAGCTGAGCAACACCAAATGCTTTCGTACGTCGTTTCAGGCATATGCAGAAACAGTTGCACTCGCACTGACATGACCGGACAAACCACACTTTGAGAATGTGCACGATATACGCGCACATAGAAACACGACGTGGCTAGCAGACAACGCAAGGAGCAATCCACACTTCACCGTTTCGGCCAGTTGCCGCCAGGCGGCGACTCTGCTCAATCTCGCGGGCAATAGAGGAATAATTTTCCAGACTACATTAAACTGATTTAACTGTTTATTACTGCCTATACATGGCTGAGCAGTAAAAGGCTCCACAAGCGCATCTTATTCTTCGGAAGCGTTTGGTCTTCTCTCTTGACCCAGGGTGTGATTCGAGACGATGTTTATATTAGCCGCGCCCTCCAGCAGCATACCAGGTTCGCTTGTGGTAGCCAGACGGTGGTGGCGAAACCGAAACAAGAGAAAACGAAACTGTGTTCCCACACAAAAAGTGGCTTAAAAAAAATAAGTCATTGCAAAAAGCCGAGTTCATAGCCCCCTGTGTATCATCATTATCATTAATAGGAATACCATTAGATAATAAAACTTACTATGCCACAAAAATCTACTTTCCTATTCTTGTGGAAGCATGGCTTAGCATGTCTGAAACCTTTGTTTTGGCCTCCGGAGCATCTCGACGAAGACCTCTCGACAGAACCCCGTACTCGATGAAGCCCTACGGTCTGGACAGCATATTTTCCGCACACTGCCACCCCCCATCTCTGAACCTGCCCTCCTGGTTTCCACTGTGACACAGTTCAATTAGGCCAAAAAGTTGGCCACTGCCCACGAACAAGCTGCCGCTGCCTTAACACAGAATATTGTCACAGCAGGCAATGTTGTCATAAATAACGATTGCTTCCGCCACCCCCTTAGCAGCCAGGTAAGTCCATACAAGAGCAGAACATCTCATTAAACACGACACACTTTTCAAGTGGGCCGCCCTCGCATGTGCATAGCTACCTTTACTGCCTCATTTTGCTGCCACGCCGCTAGAGATTGGAACATGCCCCACCAGATCGTTGCCATCACTTGTTTGTTAACGTTTACGGACAGACTGCCCACTTTTCCCAATGAAAGCGCTATGTTATTTTGCTTTGTATTGTTTAGGTATACAGGTATTTGTGCTGACGTACTTAACACTTCACACCATGTACTCATCTGTATTTTTTCTCTTCAGAGTTCAGTTATGAAAATGTTTAGCGTATGTAAGTTTTTCTTTCTACATTTTTGTATTTTCAGTCATGTTTATGCAAATTCTGAAACGCCGTATTCCCATACGTTAGAGGTCAATGAAGTGAAGAGTGTGTGCCGCTTTATGAGAGCTTGCTGCTTCGTGTTCTTTCGTCGCCGTGGACGACTCCATCCATGAGCAGTTATGTTATGAAAATGTTTAGCGTATGTAAGTTTTTCTTTCTACATTTTTGTATTTTCAGTCATGTTTATGCAAATTCTGAAACGCCGTATTCCCATACGTTAGAGGTCAATGAAGTGAAGAGTGTGTGCCGCTTTATGAGAGCTTGCTGCTTCGTGTTCTTTCGTCGCCGTGGACGACTCCATCCATGAGCAGTTTGTGGAAGGCATCTTGTCACAATACTTCCGAGAACCACTGGTTCTAGAAGGTTGCTGCATTGCTCTTTTTTTCACATGCCGTACTCCTGACACAGAAACTGCAACAGGCTGTTAAGTAATTTGACAAGCTTGTTCCCAGGCACACTTACCTTAGTGCAGGACCTTACGAGCCAGTCGGTTTTCAAGAAATTCAATGCAGCAGTGTTCATCTTCTTGTTGGTAGCAGTTGATCTATGACTTAGTTTCCCTTAGCGCTCCCGCTGCTTGAACAAGCATGATATGAACCGCATTGAAGATATTGTAGCTCCTTAGCGAACAAGAAAACTGGGCAAGTTGGTATGTATTAATTGTTACAATAAGCCACACAGACTACGAGGACAAAGAGGGAACAACACAACACAAGTGCTTCTTATCTGATCCCTGTGTCTATCGCATTACTTTCCTAGTGTAAAAGCAAAGTAGCTATGCAGTTTTGTAAATATGGGCGGAGGAATTTCTATCAGTCAAGATATTGACACAACTTTCTCAAAACTGCTCCTTGTGTTTCTACAAATCGAATGCTTTTTGTGTAACATGTGAAAGCTATACAACAGGCCTGCAATTTTGCTTTTTGATTCTGTGGAGTTCTTCCTGCTTACCTTGTATGGGCACCCAGGTTCCTCCATACAGCTGTGTGCAGCTTCAGGATTGTTACGAAAGAATGCACCCATGTGTTCCTCTGGCAGATTGTAGAGCTTCTGAACCTCTGATGCGGTGCTTGAGACCAAAGTAGCCAGAAGATATGCTGAAGAAAATTCAAAGAATATATGAGATATCCCTCGAGTGCAAGTGCAAGACCTGTGCATCGTCAAGGCTGGCTGGCATCGTCAAGGCACTCTGTATAGCTTACAGCAGCTTACAATAGCTATAGCTTTTTTCAAAAAGCATGCATTAACTGCACTAGGAGTCAGAGCACAGCATGGTTGACTGCCCGGTGTTGTGAGAAAAACAAAATTAATAATACTAGGTAGTTTCCAAATAGGGGCCCCAAACAAAGCAATAGTGTTGAGGCCACTGCACATGCACAAAACCCAAACAGTGTTTGGGTTTTGCATTGGGCCTTGAATGGCCTTTTCCCAGTCTGAACAGCACCCCAAGTGGAGATAGCCGAAATCATAACTGGTGGCTCCTGGACTCTGAAGTTGTCTGTCGAATGCCGGTAGGCAATCTCGTAGGCCTGTGTTCACACCTCTCTTTGGGGGCAAACATTTGCGTGTTTGTAGCACCAGATGTCGCTTGGTCCGCACGTGTCGTCATGTTCTGATGCCACCAAAAGTCATAGCACGTACCTGCCCAGGGTTGGCGTGCATGCACAGACTACCCACCCAGAAAAGGCCCATTCAGTGGAAGCCCCGTTGTCTGCCTCAAAATCTTTGTGTTAGACAAACGTGACGGCACCGACTCAAGTGATGGCTCTCAGCCAAGATAAGAGGGACCAAGACTGGAGTGAGTGTCCAAGGCGCCACAGACCCTGTTCTGAAACTCTGCGTGACCCAAACCGTGCATACGCAAAGGGCTTTGGGGCCCCTATTTGAACACTCCCCAATAATATTTGAGGTGTTGCGACTCAGAAACATGATATGATTATGAAAGACCCCGTTCCGTAATGGGGGGCTGTGAAAATTTGGACCCCCCCCCCCCCCCCCCAGACAGAATCCTGCCGACGGCCATGCACAGCATCTCCATCACCTCACTCAGGAAGGCTTTGGAAGCTACTGTCGAAATAAAACACATCGTGTAGCCAAGTTCCCTTCATTTACTTTCTTCACAGTTGGAAGGACCCAGCATCGTTTTATCTTCTAAATGCCATTAAACAAAGTCCAATCAGTGACACAGCGGTGCGGCAATCAAGTCGCACAATAAAAGTGATTTCCGTCCCACAGTTGATTCTGATCGGGCGCGATCTGAAGAGAATCAATCCGTCGAAAAAACAATGAATATCAATCGCAGAAAGATAGCATTGCGACTTACAGCACACCAGATTCATGGTACAAGGTTCATTGGCCACTTCACATAGACGCGCTTGACATGTGGCGATAGTGGCTCGGCCGCTTTAGAGTGCCTAGAATATTCTCCTAGTGTCATGAACAGGCGCCTTCCCCATCGGCGACTGGGAAATTGATTTGGATTCAGCGTTAGGGGGCGCTACTTGCAACTGGCGCGTCAGTTTGCGTGCCGGCCGGGCCTTTCAACGTTGTGTCGGGTGGCAACTTGTCTGTGTGGTGAAGCGTGTTCTCGCTACGTTTCGAATATGTGCCGTGAATTCTCGTGCAGCGATTGTGTGTGACTATGCCTGAAAAAAAAAAGGAAGAACGTGCTTTGTGCCTTTGTGCAAAGGCGGGTACAAGTCTTTCAAGGAGAAGGTGTCTCTGTTCAGGGCTCCGGCAGACCCTGTTCGTCTTCAAGAATGGGCGCGAAACATCAAAAGAGGTGACAAAGTTCTAGACGAAACTTGTGTAGTGTGTTCTCGTCATTTTGATGATCGCTACATCCAAAGAACTTTCAAGCATGTCATCAACGGCGAGGACGTCGAATTCGACCGTGAATGACCATCGCTAACGCCGGACGCCGTTCCTACCGTTTTCCCGGATGGCCCCGCTTACCTGACTAAACCAGTGCCTCGAAAAAGAAAAGAAAGGAATATTGCTGACTGCACAGCTCCGCCTGCTAAGCGTAAAGCGCCGAATGAACCCACGACTTCCCAGGCCTGTGACGATGCTGCCGCTGGCGAGGAAAGAGCACAGGCGCCGCACCCGTTTCACAGCATAACGCCGCCGTCGGCATTTTGCAGCAAAATTTGCTTGCCCAGTAACCCAGAAGCATTGTGCTTCGCATGGCACTACAATACAGTGCCGGGTGACGTGTGCGTGTTGAAACACGTAGTGTTTTCGTCAAGCAAGGAAGTAGGTGCTGCAGATGGGTACCTTTGCAGTACTTACTGCCGCGGCATACATGTGGAAGAGCACTATGTCAGCACCGAAACTGACGCACTCGCTTCGCTGAAAAGGGCCGACGATCTGCTTCTTTGTTGCGGCTGCGAAATTGAGCCTGCCGCTGGCACTAAGTGCGTCCGTTTCGGAAGCGGATGTTTTTCGCCCAAGTGCTTGGTTACTACGCAGGATGGGAAAGCTTGCTTGAGGTGCAAGTACCTGAGGAGACTGATTCAATTATTCAATGACAGTGCGCCAGTGGTTTCGTCTGGCGCACTGTCATTGCTTTGGCATTATTTATTTTTCTGATTACTTCGAGGCGTGAAGGGCCAATCGAAGAGATAATGACCCTTGTACGTGGGTGCGTCCAGGCCTGCCACCGAGTGCAGGGAAAGTAAGTGTCCATAATACATTGTATATATAAAAAGTTGCGAGAAGAGGGTTTGTACAGTGCCTGCGATTCTGCACATGACAACAAAGTCGCGACAGCAGCCTACGGGAGGGAATGGTGGTCGAGGATGAGGAGAGAAATATGTGATTTTTTTTTTGTGTTGAACAACCGTACCGCTGGGAGCCCCCGGTGGGCCACCCCTTAATTACCGCAATTTAAAAAGTAGCATTGGTAACGCACGAGCGGCCAATCTATGAAGAGGCGGCACGGCAGGAGGACACAAAATCTCAGCAAGGCAGAGAGCTCGCATACATTTCGTTCAAATTCACACGCTTTATTTACAGCCTGCATGGAAAACGCAGGATAACAAGGCAATCGCGTGCTAAGCCATGAAACCACCACTGCAATTTCAACGCAAAGCGTCTGCTCCGGCTTGCTGCCTCCCCAGCTTGCCGAAAAAGCAGCGCGCCAGAGAGCGGTGCTGCCACCTGGCGGCTGTATCGCATACCATTTCCCCTCGGCCGGCCCGTTCACGACACTAGGAGAAATATTCTAGGCACTCTAGCCGCTTGGATTGGGCGCGCGCCCCATTGAAAAATGTAACTGAAGAGGTTCCACCGCGGGTCGCTACGCGGCGCTCTTCTTTTACTATAGAGTAGTGACTATGTAGTCACTAATCTTTTAAAGGGTATCTATAAAGGTAACAAGGTAGTTATAAAGTGGGAAAAACAGGTATCCAAGCCTGCAGAGGTAAAACGGGTGCTTAGGCAGGGGTGCCCCCTGTCACCATTATTATTTATGATGTACCTACAAGGATTAGAGGCAAAATTAGAGGGAAGTGGACTGGGCTTCAACCTCTCTTTAGTCAAACAAGGAAAACTTATTGATCAGGCACTTCCAGCATTAATGTACGCAGATGATATAGTGCTAATGGCCAACAACAACGAAGATTTGCAGAGATTGATGGACATCTGCGGTAATGAGGGAGATAGGTTAGATTTTAGATTCAGTAAGGAAAAATCAGCAGTCATGATTTTCAACGACAACGAAGGTAGTGAGCTTAGAATACAGGAGGTCACGCTAGAGATAACAGATAAATACAAATATCTGGGCGTATGGATAAGCAATGGGACCGAGTATCTGAGGGAACACGAAATATACGTGACGACTAAGGGTAACAGGAATGCAGCAGTGATGAAAAATAGGGCACTGTGGAATTACAATAGGTATGATGTTGTGAGAGGAATATGGAAAGGGGTCATGGTTCCTGGGCTGACGTTCGGCAATGCGGTCTTGTGCATGAGATCAGAAGTTCAAGCAAGATTAGAAATTAAGCAACGTGGAATAGGTAGGCTTGCTTTAGGAGCTCACGGGAATACACCAAATCAGGGAGTACAGGGTGATATGGGATGGACATCATTTGAGGGCAGGGAAGCTAGCAGCAAGATAAAATTTGAGAAGTGATTGAGAGAAATGGGGGAAGAGCGTTGGGCTAGGAAGGTATTCAGCTACTTGTACATGAAGAATGTCGATACAAAATGGAGGAAGCGAACCATGAAGTTGACTGGTAAATACTTAGAAAACAGCAGGTGGCCAAACCAAAAAGAACTATCGGTTAAGAAGAAAGTGAAGGAAACGGAGACTGACATGTGGAGAATGGGCATGATTAAGAAGTCCGCAATAGAGATCTATCGAACGTTTAAGCAGGAAATTGCCAAGGAAAGGATCTATGATAATACTCGGGGTAGTTCTCTACTGTTTGAGGCCAGAACGGGAGTACTGCGAACCAAGACATATCGGGCCAAATACGAAGGGGTAGACACAGTATGCAGTGCGTGTGGAGAGGAAGAAGAAACTGCCGAACACTTGATAATGTTCTGTAAAGGGCTTCACCCTATAGTTCAGGATGATGGCGCAGAGTTTTTCAAAGCACTGGGATTTAGGGACCGGGAGGGCAAAATAGACTTTAAGCGGGTAGACTTAACTAGAAGGAGGTTATCTGATTGGTGGCTAAAGTCAAGGAACGAGTGAAAATTAAACTCTTCACTGCAAAGTACGAATCCTCAAACTCTTTTTTTAAGGAAAAAAAATAAATATAGTTTTTGGTTTATTAGGTATTACGGCTTGGTAGCGCTAGCCACCGCCCGATCTAAAGGGTACAGCCATATCCATCCATCCATTTATCCAGAGTAAGTAAACGACACGTAGTGGTACCGACTGCGGTCGAGAGGTGGCGCCAGTTTGACCATAGTGCGGTGTTCTCAATGAAGATGCAACAGGACTAATACTTTTTTGCAGACTAGTTGGTTCATACTTGAAAAATTGAATTGCTGCACAAACTTGAAGAAAAAACAAGAGGGACAGGAAAGAGTGCAGACTACCAACTGTTTATTGTCGTTTTTTGAAGCCAATATATACATGCTACGCTGCGCTTCCACGATGCGCACAAAACCAAAGACGCCGCAAACAAAGCCGACCAAATCAAATCAAAATTGACTGCCACCACAATGACAAACGTGAAAAATGGCAAAATACAAAAGTGATACCCACCACGATCTAAACTGCTTACTCCCAAGGTGTGCGCTCATCTTTTATCTTTTATTATTCATTGCACCAAGCATCAACTAAAGCATGAAAAAATGAAAACATGTTCTAGAGATTTTCGTTTTAAAACCCTAAAAATAGCGCTTAGCACCAAATAAAACAATAAATTAACATTTTCATATTCACTCCAAGCAGCCCCAAATGAGAAACCAGAAGAAGCAGTACGCCGAGAGAGTCAAAAACTATACTAACATAAAATCTAACAAAACATTCCGTAGCGTCACATGGGAAAGAAAACAAGAACACTAATAAACAACACAAAGAAAGATGAATGGAAGAGAACACAATGCAAGGCGTTAGCCACAACATTACACATGACCTTGCAGGAAGACCATTTCCCTGTCCGAAAGTGAAATGGAAGGCATGCTTATGCACTTGTCATCATATTGCCTGATGAAGTACGCTTCAATTATCTCTCTTTCGGTCTTTTCACGCACCTTAGCCATGACTGACGCACTCTCGAAACGGGGGGAGCAACCGCATGTCCTACAGTGGAAATCTAAATGACCGCCATTTTTTCCTTTTACGGCCAGACTGTGCTCACGCAAGCGTTCGTTGAGGCAACGCCCCGTCTGCCCTATGTACACCCTCCCACACGACAAAGGAATCAGATATACAACCGCAAATACACACCTAATGAACACGTTCGCATGCTTTTTTGTGCATTTTGCCTTCTTCTGTTTAGTCATTAACGAGCAGATCTGACGTAACTTTGTAGGCGCAGAAAACAGTACATCAACACCGTACCTATTAGCCACCTTTTTTACATTATGGGAAACACTATGTAAGTAAGGCATAACATGAATAGGCCTCTTCTCCCTTCCTTCGACAGTTGGACCCCCGCCCTTGTATTTTTTAAGAAGGCTTTCACAAGCGCTAGCTAAAAACTGTGCTGGGTACCCAGCCGCACCCAGACGAGCTACCTGATCCTCGAAGCTTTCAGAGATCAGATGAGGGCAAGACTTGTCGAGGGCTTCCGCACAAGCTGACAACACAATGCCCCTCTTAATCAACTTCGAGTGCGCACTATCAAAAGGCAACAAGCCTTTCTTCGATACTAGGAGACATGAATTATACTAGGTCATTTAGATTTCCACTGTAGGACATGCGGTTGCTCCCCCCGTTTCGAGAGTGCGTCAGTCATGGCTAAGGCGCGTGAAAAGACCGAAAGAGAGATAATTG